ATTGCCAAAATTATAAATTTCCTAATCTATCTATTGATTTGTGGTTAATATTGGTTCTCACAGTTACCACAAACTAATTAGTTCTCATTTGATTAGGCCCCTATATATATATATATATATATAAAGATTACAAATTTCTGACGGAATTCGATTTATTTTATTAAAAATTAAATTCCGTCGGAATTTTTTTTGATTAACGATAATTTATTTATTTAAATAAATTAGATAAATTTTGCGACGGATTTCCGACGGTTTTGAATAAGTAAAAAATCCATCACAAATCCGTTGAAAACCCGTTTTAAATAATTTTAATTTTTTTCCCAAAAATTCAATGGGGGATCTGTGACGGATATGGATAAAAATTGACTTTTTTGGGATCCGTCGGAAATATTTCCAACGGAATTTCCGCCAGAAAAATCTGTCGGTGATACCTTTTTTTTAGTAGTGTTAAAACATGGTATGAAAATTTAAAATTATGACATAATTTGTTTGAATTGCAAAGGAATTTGTTGTAATTGTGTAGCATAAAATTAAAAAAACAACAATTTTCGATCAACACACATCCAATTTAAACCGATATATAACTCGAGCGGATCCAAATATAAATGCAACAATATTCCATTTTCATGATCTAGCATTAATTACCAGGGCCGTCCCTGGGGGAGGGCGACATAGGGGCACGCCCAGGGCCCAAAAACATCAAGGGGCTCAAATTTTTTTATTTATAATACAATAGTAGTCTAAAATAATTTAATAAATTAAAAAAAAACCAAAATAATTGTAGCATATAATATGAGGCAAAAAGAATTTAGTAGATAATAAGTGCACAAAAATATATCAACTAATTACATTGAAGAAGAAAATAAAAAATTAATTGGTCATTCATTATATGCTATTGTTTATTGTCTCTATTTTTTTTTATCTCCAATAAAGTCCACTGATCTTGACTATTGTTATCTTTATATGTTTGACTGTTTTTGTGTTTCAACAATTCAACTTTAAGATCATGTGTTTGCTATTGCTATATATTTTTGTTGGATATTTTTATCAAATTCTGCTTCTATTAACTATTGATATTTGGTTATCTTGTTCTATTTGTTTTTTTACTATTGTTATCTTCTTTTGCTTCTACATAAAATATTTTACTATTGTTTGACAATCAATCTATTGTTCTTATAATTTATGACGTGTTTTATGGTTTTGTGATTAATCAATAAATTTTTTATAACTAGATGTATTTAGTAATGTCTCTTATATATGTCATGTTCTATAAACTTTTAATTTTAACATGTTATTTTAGTTGAACAAAAAAAGAAAGATAATAGAATTTAGATAGTTTCATCAATTGTTTGACTTATGTATCTTCATTGGGATTCCACCACACCACAAGATTCTATTTAAGTGCTCAAATAATCATTTGTTGAGCTTGCATATTATATGTTTAATTCATTATTTATTCTTATTGGTTCTCAATATATCATATTTTCTTTCATATTTTTATTGATCTTCATTTGTCTACTTGTATAGAAAACCTTGATAATCTTCTTTATTATTGATCGCTCATTGACCTTCATGATTACTTCATTCACACGAATTCTCTTTTTGTATCAAAATAACACATATTTCTTGTTATTAAGATTTCTTTCCTCACTAAATTATTAGCATTTCTTGTACTCAATTTATACTAACGACAAAAATTTATTGAATTTTTTTTTCATACTTACCGAAGGTCACTACAAGAAAACTGAATTATGACGATTCATTTTTTAGAATGACATGTTTCTGCTACAAGTTATAGCATATCGTTGTTATATACTCTTTCTGATGATAAATGAACTTTTTGCGATGACAAAAGTCGTTGCCTAGTTTCTTTCAGTTAGCCCTGTTTTTACATTTGTCTGGGGCCTATAAAATGTCAGGAACGGGACAGTTTATTTTTTGGCAAATTCAAAGAAAAATTGAAATTTATCGTGTTTTCATTTTTATTTTAAGAAGCTAACTTCTTTAAAAGTATAGGGACCAAATTCATTTTTTAAATTGAAATAAAAACGGAGTTGATTTAAGGGGGTGTTTGGGATTGCTTATTTAAAACAACTTATATTTTTCTATAAAAGTCTTTATCAACTTATTATAAGTTAGAATACTTTAACTTCTTCAAAAACTTCTCATTACCGGTTTGGCACCGGTATAAGCCGTTTATTCAAACACTCAAAAGTGCTTGTTACCGGTGTCATAATACCGAAATAAGTCAATAAATTGTTTTTATAAGCAAACCCAAACACCCCTAAAAATGAACAATTTTAGAAGTTGGTTTCGCAAAATAAAAATTAACGTAAATTTAGTTTATTTTTGATACAATTAATCGATTTAAACAAAGAAGGAATAAACATATGATATATAAACCAAAAAGATACTCATGTGTCCAGGAGAAATATTGGTTAAAAGAATACAATATATGATGAGCAGGTTTGAATTATTAAAAGTAATCTTTAACTATTGACAACTAATTAATACCCTTAGAAAAATATAGCAGCCGAACTAAAATCCATATAAATTTAAATGCCATGGCTAACATCCAAACCAGAGCTAACATCGATTCATTAATTTGCTACTCTCCAACTTCCTATGGCTTCCACTGATACCAGAGCTCCGTCGCAAGTCACCACCCAGTCGTCGGTGAAGTGGGCATCACAACTGTCCGGTTACCTGGCCGGTCGAGGTGCAGTTGCTGTCAAAAACCATGCCAGGGTTGATGTAGTCTCGAGAGCCTTCTTGTCCGTAACTGGCTTGGTCTCTGTTATTGTTATGGCCACTTCTAAGCAAACCACGATCTTACCTGTTTCGCCCGTCATGACCGTATCCGTGGCTGCAAAATTCTCTCACTCTGCATCTTTCACGTAAGTAGGGCAGTTTCGACTAGTGTTGTTTGACCTAAATGATATCTAAGATGTTTGTTATTTTGCGTTACGATATAGGTATTTCGTGGCAGCACTCGCGGTGGCTTGCTTGTACGGCATCATTACTGGTATCGTATCATATTTAGCACTGAAGAAGCAAGGAGGAAGTTCAACAGAGCAGCTGATACATATGGTGATACTTGATTCTGTAAGCGATCTTGAATCATTTGTAATTCTAAGATTAGAACATGTGTATGYGGATCAAACCGATTTTTGATTGATGGGTATGTACGTATGGTGCATGCAGCTGATGTTAGCTATCGTAGCAGCAGCAACAGGAGCTGCGGGAGGAGTAGCTTATGAAGCACTGAAAGGAAATCCRCATATCMGATGGAACAAGATTTGCCATRTCTACGATATCTTCTGTCGCCATCTTGGAATTGCTGTTTTTACGTCGCTCCTATCCTCGATGACACTTCTAGCACTCGTTTGGCTCTCTGTTTGTGTGCTTGCCAAAAACAGTGGAAGGCGATAGTCTGGGTTGATGCCGAAAACGTTCCAAATTTATCATTTTGATGTCATTAGACTTTTGTTTTGCATAGGTTTTCGTCTTCGAGTTTGTGTAGTTCTTGGTCAGTAAAGTTTGAGCTTCTTGATTGGTTATGCGTTTGAAACTCATCATGAACACGAACATGTGTATTGCTTTTTCCTTTATCTTGTACTCGGCTTATTTCTAGAAAAATATGAGACATGTATGATTGATGGTTGATTAATGTAATTTTTTGTGTGGCAGAAAAGAAGAATAGACATGATCGGTGATTACTTGTTCATGATTTTCTCTTTTTACATCTCGATTCTATTATTTCTTTTCGGTTCAATAGAGAGGCGTTCTCAGAAATCTATATATCCAATGATTGCTAGTGATCTATGTTTAGAATTTAAATGTGTTAACTTCAATGATAATTGGAAAAAAGTAATGTAATCAACCAAAAAACATGAGGGTATGCAATTATAAGAAGTTCAATAATCTCTTTATCGAATTGGATTGATGTACGGAGGATTAGAGATTTAATGAGGTTTTTTACATACATTTGAAAAGAAGAGAACAAGCTCGAAAGAATTTCAAAAACCCTATTTAAAAGTTGGGACATAGTCACTTATAAACGCAACTTCTCCTCCCGCTGCTTGGATCATGTGTCAAGTCGCGGGAGTGTCCTGATAAGTCGTATGCAATTTATTTATTTTGTTTTCTAATTAATTTAGAATAATTTACTTGTTAGTTTTAGTTATTATTAGTTTGTTTTCTAATTAGATTAGGATTATTATTATTAGTTACTTTTATTAATTATTTAAATACTTTTCTTCTTGGTTTAGAATTAGTTTAGATTCCATAGTTATTGCTTAGTCAGTTTGGTCTATAAATAATATTCGATTGTTTCATTAGTATACAAATTGTTGATTAATAAATTAAATCTGTTAGAGTTTTGTTTCCGTTTTTTAAGAGTTTTCTCTTCCATGTGCTACACGCTTGTAGGGTCGTTATCTTTATGGGTTTCAGATGCTTGTCGATTCTTTTACAATTTTCCCATTGCGTCATGAACATAAAGAAAACCGATACAACCAAACGGGTCTTTTAGGATGTATAGCCATCATTGGGTATTGTAATAGAGTATACTTAGTGAAGACTTTAAGTTTATACGATCGATAATCATGTTTCCTAGACAGTAATATTATAAGAAATTGTTAGGATGAAGTTAGATGAACTAACAAGTTTTATCAACAAAATTATGCAATGTAATAGGAAAGTATAATCATCACATTAGTCTTTTTATAAAATCGTTTTTGAAAAACACCTTCTACAAAAAAAAATTAAAAAAATGCTAGAATAACGTTTCTTAAAATTGTCATACAAGGGGAAAAGGTTTCTTTTTGTTTCTAGTGACTTGGGTTGTTCGACCTTAGGTATCTTTGCCATGTCACATACGATATAACTTTGTCAAGGGAACCTAAGGTAGCATACAATTTGATATGATGAATTGGGGCTTAGGGCTCATCTATACATGTCGTGTAGTTTGATTGACATGATAAATTGGGGTTTAGGGCTCATTTGATGTGTAAAGTCTTTGGAACACATTGAAGAAACACTTCGGTGGTTTTCCTATTTCTTCAAATCCATAGTAAATAGGTTTAGTTGTTTACGTTTTTGTGTTGTAATAACTTAATTATAACCTTCTACTTATTATGTTAATACACAATCTAGGGTTTTTAGTGCGAGCATGTGCACGGTTGTAAGGTTGTAGCTTGTTATATATATGCTTGTGTCATTACACTATTTGTGTTGTTTACTTGATATTACTATCATGACAAGCCGACCATTTGTTGATTAGTTTTCTTTCAACATTTGGTCGGGTGGTTTGTACACATTGGGCCTTGTTGTAGCCTTTGTGTGTCGGCATCGGTAAAAATTCCAACTAGTATTAGAGCCAATAGTTCACAGGTATATTTTGACAATTCTTTTTTGGATATACTCACTCGTTTGATTTGGTGGAAATATATTGGTTCACATTTGTTGATAAAATGTTAATTAGGTACTCCAAAAACCAATGTTTAGAATGTTTCATGTGTCGGGGCTTCTAGTAGAACTCTGTACGGTATGGATCCATTGTCGTAATTGGTTTGTTGTTTTTTATTTCAAATTGAAATGGCAATGACTTTGGAACATGTCAACGAAAGGCGAAACCCGTCCAACCATCATTATGTGGTTGTGCTTACTGTAGAGGATTTAGATATTGATATATCGGCAAAAAATATCCTAGAGATGGAGCATTGGGCCAAGCCGTGACTTAGATGGCCACAAGTGACAATTAATATAATATATGAGTCAATTTTAAAAAATTTACTACATGTGTTTGGAGAATTTCAAGAAGCTTTATTTAACCAAATATTTGTCTAACCGGTTGATTTTGACGAAGACCCTCTTTTTGTTTAGGATGCAAGAGGGATCCACCACAAAACAATGTATGAGGAGTTTCAATGATCTTGTGATGCTGATAAAGAGTGTTGGTTTAAAGGTCGACGATGATCAGTTGGTAATGATTATAGTTAAGATTCTCTAACTGGTCATAGTATTTCTCAAGGACTATCAGGGGAAAGAGAAAGATAAGGATCATCTAAGTTATCTAGGCGGCATTGTAGTTCACAAGAGCCCAATTCACAAGGAACAAGTCCAGAGGTAGGTGTATTTGTAACTATTTCCTAAGACACCGACATTGAGTGAGAGAATGTTTGAAGCTAAATAAGAAGAATAAGACATAAGATGCTACATCTTTCATTGTAAACAATGAGGCTCTTTAGGTCACAACCAACTCTCCATCTTCGGGTTCTTTATTTGATGCACAATGGGTCATTTCCTCGATGATCAGTGGTTAAATTTATGGTTAAAGCCCCTAAACCACAACTTCTTTATTCAGTCAGACAGTCACAAATAGTAATGCTTGCTTTTGGTTACTGTATTTGTGCATAGGGATGGCATGTTTAAGAGTTCGAGCGGTTGTGGTGATTTTTAGGTTCAGAGGCGTTTATTGGTATCATGTGATGTTTCAAAAAAAATTGATACTTGTTTGGACCATGAGGGTGCTTTTACTCGTGCATCATATACTTGTTTGGACCTTGGGTTCAAGTCATGGAGGAGTTTGTTCTATCTTGTACTTAGCGACAACATGGATATGTGTCGCTTTTGAATTATTAGACTCACACTTGTGTGTATAGGAATTGGGTTTATCACAATGACCGTTTGTGGGATATCAAGATTTGGGCAACGAGGATGTGATAGTTTTCTCGTCATGTTCATTACCGTTTTTCTCCGATAATTCTTGATAGGGTATTGCGATTTGAAAAGTCATGCTTACAGTTGTGTCTTCCAGGTGTATCTATGGAAATTATGAGATTTTCATTAGGGAGAACATCGGTTGACTTTTTAACGGCAAACGCAGTTATTGCCATCAGAAGACTTTGGTTGGCTAAGGAGAAAAGGTGTTGGCATAACATTTCTGGGCGTGGTGGAATGATGGAAGTCCTTTAAAAAAGATTACAGAACCCAAAGGGGTATACACCAAAATTGAATTCACAAATAAGATAAGGTTAAACAACATTTATCTATAAAGCAACTACAATCATCACATGTGCTATTTATCGTCAACATGATCTGCATCAAGGTTATCGGATACAACTCCAACTTTGGGTTAGGCTAAATGTGGAGTCTGGTTCTTTCTTCGGTGTTTTGATGGTATGGTGTCGAGTTAGAGCTGTTTCCCACATTTGAACACACGAGTACTTTGTAGTACTTTGGTAATCCATATCCATTGGGAATTCTTGGATCAAGGTGTAGTTTGGGGTTCAAGCGTTGATTTTGTGGACACTGGGTAGGTGGTCTAATATGATAGTTTGTGGATGAGGCAGAGTTTTCCCATTAAGGCCTATTTAGGTGTCATTTGTGTCATTTCTTGAGAATCAGTTTTGATTTTTTTTAATTAACCTGGATATCCAACCCACTATGCAGGCTGACTAATCCCAGGGTGACCACCGACTAATCAAGGTTGACAAAACCCTTTTAAGTATATATGTCTTTTAATCAAATGTTTGTCCTGAAAATGGTTTTAAAAAGGAGTTGAAAAGTATAAGTGACGTAAACAACATAACTATGTCTATATTTATACAAACAAATACAAGATGTGTATAGATAATCATATAAATAAGAAAAACCATTTGAAAATATATGAAATTTACAATAAGAAAATTTGTGTATTCAATAAAGCAACTTGTTTATTTTAGAACCTTTAGAAAACTTGGCATTGTGTAAAGGAAAAAAAAAGAATTTGATATGAATTAAATAAATAATGTTTCAAGTGGATAATTGAGGACTGCAACTACATCAAAATTTACTTTTGAAGTTAAGGAGGAGCCAATGCCACTTTTGGCTCCAAGAAGCTCCCCACTGCTCAAGAGGATCTACACGACTTGGGATTTCTTCTCCAAATCCAAAGTTGATAGGTTTAATTGCTTACATATGTCGGTTGTAGTCATTGATGGTAAGCATTTCATTGTGATCATCTATTTGTTGTATCAATAAATCATCTAGGTTCTGTTGTGAGGATAACAAGGTTATAAGGTCGTGGAACCTTGTTATATACTTGTGTTATTACATTGTTGTGGTGTTTACTTGATATTATTGTCATGACACTTTATGTAGATCATTTGTTGATCCTTTTTTTTTTCCTCAATTGGATGTTAAGTGATTGCATACATTTGACCTTGTTTGGACCTTTATGAGTGATAACCGGGTTTTTCGGTTACCAGGTTGCGGGTTGATTTCAAATAATGGTGGTAAGTTGAGGGGTTTAATTTGTTTATGTGCTTAAATGATTATATTTCCCACTGTTTTATTGTTGATATTGTTCTCTTATGGGTTATTTGTGTTATCTCATGGGAATATGTGAGAAAAAATATTTAAAAAACAATCCCCACCACCTCTTATGGTTAATAATTGTTATTTTAATATGAGATATTTGTTTTATCTCATGGAAGAGTGTGAGTGATGTTTTTAAAGACACCACCGCCTTATGCTTTGTAAAAAGAAATTTATTATGAGATGTTTTATCTTATCTCATGGGTTTTGGTGAAAAGGAAGCTTGTCTTTGTATATGTGTGTGTGTGTGTGTGTTTTGGAGCCGAAGCAAAACAAGACCAAAAAGATTTGATTTGAAGTTGTTTTCTATGACTCTTGTTTGGATATGTGTTG